GTGGAGTGTAATGTAGTGTCATGTAGTGTAGTGGAGTGTAGTGTAGTGTAATGTAGTGTAGTGAAGCGAAGCGAAGCGACATCTGAGCCTCAAAAGTGGTCCGAACCCCTGGTGCTTTGTACATTTTCACTTCGAAATGTGCTTCGCGCCACAACGGCGTGCACTTTTTCGACATCTCAACTTCCCAAAGTGGTCCGAGCATGATGTGCTTTGTACATTTTGACTTGGAAATGTGCTTCGCGCCACAACGGCGTGCACTTTTTCGACATCTCAACTTCCAAAAGTGGTCCCCCGAGAGAGAATGGGTGTTTTGTAATTTTGGACTTGGCAATGTGCTTCGCCGCCACAGCGGCGTTGCATTTTTTTTCTTTTTTTTTCGGACATCGGAACTTACACAAAGTGGCCGAACCTGGTGGTGGTTTTGTACATTTGACTTGGAGGAAATGTGCTTCGCCGCCAACAACGCGTGCACTTTTTTGGGATTCATCTCTGACTGTTTCCCATAAGCAGGGGAGGGTGCCGGGGAAGAATGGTGTGTTTTGTACATTTTGACTTGGAAATGTGCTTCGAGCCACAACGGCGTGCAATTTTTCATCGTTCCCGTGGCCAGCTGGGTCCGCACCCGCCGCTTTAGCGAGCCTACTTTTCGACCCTCCGGAGCCACAAATCATTGGAAAAACACAGTGTTTCGCGACTTTCCTACCTTTTCGCGCATCTGTATCTTCTGTCTTCTTACTCTTTCTCTTCTAATCTTCTTTCTTCTAATCTTTCTCTTCTCTATGCCTCTTCCCTGCTCTGCTTTTCATCTCTCCATATTGTCGGAAGTTTGACTTCTAAACTTCCTTCGATTATATAACTTATTATATATATTTTTTGATATATATATATATTTTAATTAACATGATTTTTTAATAGTGATAAGGCCGAAGCTCTGTTCAGAAGAAAGGATATCACCGAGAAATCCCTGGCTAGAAATAATATCTATTGTGAAGAAATTATGGATAAATTACGGAAAATTACGGGATATTACGGGTAGAAATTTAGATTTTGTTCTAAAAATATAATCTATTTCCTTAAAATATTGAAAAATCAATTTCAATCCAAAAAAAATGTTAAGGGTGTACAAGGGTATCATAGATATGCATGTATGTATATGTAATTATGTACATTAAATTATAATAAAGGATTAATTTCAATTATTTTATGAATATATATTTATTATAATATATTATAATATATTAGAATATTCTTTAAGAAACTGATTCGAGGCCATTATCCAATCCAACGTCAGGAAACCAGATCCTTCCCTGGCGGATAGCACCTCAAGAATCACAGGTACAAAACCCTGCCCCCTTCCGCCCTCAAATCCTGTTTGTCTGAGAGCAAGGTAACCGGGTAATTACACCAAGATTTCACACACCCCGCCCCCAAATAAATTTCAATAGATTTCAATAGATGCAACAAGGGGATCGGGCGTCAGGCCGGAGCCTGGAATCTGAGCACCGCACCCTTTGCGGAGGTAAGGGCAAGCCGAAAGGGATTCCTTCCACCAGAACCGACTGTGACATTTCCTTCGGCGGTTCCCGAAGCTCATTCGCTTCAGGGGTCTGAGAACCAAGTGAAAGGCTGCAGCTGCGAACGCGCTACATTCGTCATTTCAGAGGTGATTGTTGTAGTGGCAAGCTACCTTAGAAGGCCTTTCCTGGCAATCATTTGTAATTTTGTGAACCGACGCGTTGAAATTTTACACGCACACTTTTCGAAATTAGACTGTTTGACCAATTCAACCTGCCAAATCTTGTTCCCACAAGTCAATACTTTCATTGCAGAACCCCATGGGCCCGACTCCTTACAGTAGGTGGCAAAAATGGGTCCGTGGCCGAAACTTTCCAATCAGAGCTATCGATGTAGGCTTCCCGTGGTGATTCACCCAGTTATCACTACAACACGTTTCAAAGGATCAACAAAACAACAAGGACCGCTAGCCAAATAACATCAAAAAACAAGAACTGAAAGAAATGCCTCGCAAAGTCACAACCCCTGAGAAGACATTGCATCTTCGGGCGAAAAGGCCAACTGCAGGAATGATCACCCGAGTCCTCGCTGGTTTGCAGCAACTGCGAAGAAAGCTCCTTGGCTGCCACAGTGTGCCAGGCGGTATGCTAGATGGGTGCGCCAGGGATTCCCGCAAGCAGCAGGTGGATAAGTGGATGGGTGTTGAATAGCAACTCCAAAGGTTTGAAGATTCAGCCATGGCAGAAAACAGCAAACATGGCCCTTTGCCACGCCTTGCTGGGGTGCACGAAGGGGAAAATGGATGGTTTGGTATCCAAGAAAAATCCCGATGGAACGACCGATCAAGCCATTGTGTAAACTGGTGCTTTGGGTTAGGCATCCCAAAGATTCCAAACCACCCACACCGCCTAACCATGCCTAACCAAACTACGGGATACCAACATACAATCATTATGTAACATAACTAATCAATCTATACCAGTAGTGCCGCACAAGGCGGTGGCGGAAGTTTCAAGAATAGGAAACCTATAGGAGAGGTTGGTTGTTGTGAATCACGGATGGCAGAGCAAATCCACTGATGGACCGAAAGGTGGCTGGAGCTGTATTTTTTGGAGTGGTTGCAATGGTTGCAGTATGTTGCAGTGGTCACCTCACCACAACTGCTGGATGTAGTGTGGTGTAGAGTAACTAGTGTAGTTGCAGTTGCAGTTGCAGCTGTGGTGTGGTGTAATTACTGTAGTGTAGTGTAGTGTACTGTAGTGTTGTGCATTGTAGTGTGGTATAGTGTAGTGTAGTGTAGTCTAGCGTATTGTAGTGTAAAGCAGCGTAGTTGTAGTTGTAGTGTTGTGTAGTGCAGTGTAGTGGTAGTTGTAGTTGCAGTTGTAGTGATGGTCGTAGTGTAATGTAATGTAATTAGTGCAGCGTAGTGTTGTATAATGTAGTGTGGTTGTAGTTGTAGTTGCAGCATGTGCATTTGTAATTTTAGTGTGCTGCAGTGTAACTAGTGTAGTGTGGTTTAATGTGTTGTAGTTATAATTGTAGTTGTAGGTGTGGTGGTAGTAGTAGTAGTTGTTGTTGTTGTTGTAGTGGTAGTGTAATTAGCGCAGTGTCTTGTAGTGTAGCGTAGTTAGATGTAATTAGTGTAGCGTCGTGTAATTAGATGTAATTAGTGAAGTGTAGTGTAATCAGTGTAGTGTAATGTAGCGTAGTGTATTTGCATGTGTAGTGGTAGTGTGTAGCGCAGTCGTAGTTGTCGTTGTAGTTGTCGTTGTCTATCTATCTATCTATCTATCTATCTATCTATCTGTCTATCTGCAAGCTTGAAAACGAAGCTATTCTGCGAGACTTTCTCAACTTTTGAACTTGACAACGTCAAAAACGAAACATGTCTGCGAGACCTCCTCAATTTGTGAATTTGACAACATCAAAAACACAGCAATTCTGCGAGACTTCCTCAATTTTTAAAATTTGTCTCCTGTCCTAGCTGTCATGGTTTTATACTAAAACTTTGAGTTTGAGAAAAATGCGGTCGCGTCATTGTGCGGCAACTGTCGTCAACTATTGAAATCAGACCGCACTTTTAGGAATGGCTTCCGACGTTCACCTATAACAACCCTCTACAAAAGATAGAACAGTGTTTCCAGGATGTTTTAGGTGATGGTTCCTCCACAATGTCCAGGTTTCCCACTTTTCTATCTTTTGGGGTTATGTCCCTGTAAACTACAAGTTCGATGTGGAAAACCCACCGTGAATGTAGATGATTTTCCGAACGGGATGGGCCAATGGGTTTTCCACATCTATGTTGGTTTACCCTAGGGTAAATCATCGTAACATGGTAAATCACAATGATATTTCCCATGACTGTAATTCCCATGAAATCACCATTTAAATCATCCAACTCTTTTGATTTTTCGCCTATAGCAATTGCGAAATCCCACGCTCCATCGCTGAGCTTCTTTGGCTTTCCAAAGGCCGCTCTGCAGCAAGTCTTCCACCGTCTGCGGCGCTAACAAGTGGCGGGATGCCGGCGAAGTGCTGCTAACTGGCAAGTAGTCCTCCAGTTCGTTCAGGGCGGACAAGCCAAGTGATCATCACACTGGAAGATTAAAATATGAGAAAATCCCTCCGTCAATGGAGGTTTAAATGCGAAAATCCTCTACAAATAGAGGTTTTACTGGGGAAATCATGTATGAATTAATATATATATTGATATGGGGATTTCCATTGCCACGTTTGAATACGGAGGGTATCCCTGAATGGTGTTTGAGGCATGGGATGTACTCCTGGCATGTTGAAGGTTCAACTCCCTGCAAAAGTGGGAATTCTTTCAGTCCTTGGGATGGGGTGGAAACAAGCAACACTCTCAATCACAAGTTGATCAGTCGCTCGCTCGCTCCAAAAAAGAAAAATCAATCGTCAATCAGCCAATCAATAAATCGATGGATATATATATATATATATATGTATATATATATATATGTAGATAGATAGATAGATAGATAGATAGATAGATAGATAGATAGATAGATAGATAGATAGATAGATAGATAGATAGATAGATAGATAGATAGATAGATAGATAGATAGATAGATAGATAGCTGGATAGATAGATAGATAGATAGATAGATAGATAGATAGATAGATAGATAGATAGATAGATAGATAGATAGATAGATAGATAGAGATATAGATATAGATATAGACAAAGGTATAGATATAGATTTGTCAGAATAGAGCAATACACCGGCATTGGGCAAGACTATTTGGTACTGTTTGCAGCTAATCTTGAGCAAAGGTGTCTTTATCGGCTGGATTTACTACATGCATCCAGTGTCGTCAACAAATGCCTGAGTAGTTAAAGGTAATTGTTCCTTGCAGTGCTGTTGTTACATATTTATCTTCGATTCTTCGGGTAAACGAAAACCATACAAATGGTGAGTTTTCCACATCTATGTTAGTTTGCAGGAAGGTACCTGAACCGGTATATTATGTTAACATCCGTATCCGGATGACATCCAATAATAACACATCTCCAATATTACCATCCCAATCAGTTGTGCAAATCATCCCCAAATGGCTTGTGGCATGGGGCTCCACATTATGTATTACAGTGATATTATTGACAATTTCAGTGAAGCAGTGAATTGTTGCCAACCTCTCAAGACATGCAGCGCTAAGTTCATATTAGTAAGCACCCCCGAATTAAGCAACACCCAACATGCAAAAAAAATGGCAATACTACTTTGGGTTGGTCCCTCCCTATTAATCATCATGGGTGGTCCCCCCCTATCCAGCAACACCCTTCTGGAAAATCCTAATTTTGGAATTCAAGAACTAATGGAAAATTAATGGGTTCAACACATTTCTCATACTAAATCTCATGAACCCATTCCAAATCTCATAAATCCAATTTTTGGTTTTGCTGCTCATTATTTGTGGGTGAACGGAGAACACCTTCTCATTGGAACTCAATCATCTCAGGCAGCCTTGGCGACAGGGATTTGACCATCTCTGTCTTTCCAAAGTCCACTGGTTCATCACCATTTGCCTATGAACATTCCCATAAATTGGGGCATACTTATATCTTCTTATATCTATTTATTTTTTTCAGACAAGCCCGTATCTCATGTCTCTTGATACTACCATGTAGTGAGAAACTCTTCCAATAATAGCTCCTTAGCTCCTAATGAAGATAGAGAATCCTCAAAGCTCCGAACCGCTCCCTCCTCACGGAATCACCCTGTCCTCGAAAGTGGGCTCCCCACAACTAGGAAGGGCTGGCCGCAGACCGCGCTTCCTCAGCTGTCATGGGACTAACTCTTATCGGTTATATATATATATATAACCTATAATTATAGCATTTATTTATATAACTAGACTATATATATATATATATCCAATACAGCTTCACTTATATAAACTAAGTTCATTAGATAAAGGATGTTTGATTGAAATGAGAAGGAAGCATTGCAACCACCGAGTCTCCATGCATGGTAAACACATTTCATATGTTGAAGCTTTTCACAAAGCCTTTGGGTTGGATCGTCGGCGATGATCAGGGCACCAAATCCGGCGATGCCTCGCCGTATGGTGGTGTAGCCTCCGTTTTTTCAGCAATTTTTTGACGATTTTTTGCTGCGCTCGGGAAACAAAAACATCGTAAAATACACTGATTTTGTCCTTTTCCCATTTAGAAACTACATCTTGCAACATGGTGAAAACATGTGAAAACTGCGTAAATACCAGTGTTTTTGCTAGGCACTGGCGCCGACAACACTGTAAATAACGTGACTCTTGCTACCAGAGGCAAACAACACCGTAAATACTGTGGTTTTGGGCTTCCGAGGCGCAAAAAGCATCGGTATTTACGGTGTTTTTGCTTCGAGAGTGTCAAAAAAGGCGAAAACAGCATCTATTTGACGATTTTTAGGGGTGCAACAACAACAACAACAACAACAACAACAACAACAACAACAACAACAACAACAACAACAAGGACAAGGACAAGGACAAGGACAAGGACAAGGACAAGGACAAGGACAACGACGACGACGACGACGACGACAACGACAACGACAACGACAACGACAACGACAACGACAACGACAACAGCGACAACAGCAACAACAGCAACAACAGCAACAGCAACAGCAACAGCAACAACAACAACAGCAGCAGCAGCAGCAACAGCAACAGCAACAGCAACAACAACAGCAACAGCAACAGCAACAACAACAACCACAACAACAACAACAACAAAAACAACAACAACAACAACACCAACAGCAACAGCAACAGCAACAACAACAACAACAATAATGATAATAATAATTATTATAATAAACATAATAATAACAAGACGAAGAACAAGCACAAAAATGAGACAAAAAAGGTGTGGTAAGATGGTTACAAGCTGCGGTATGACAAGAACATTACACTGTGCTCTGCACCTGCGCGCACGCGCAGAGCACATAAACAACACCAACGCTCACACTACTATACATAATCCCATCGCCGGTGTGCGAAGCTCTACAATATTGGAAAATCATGGAGCACTATTTCAAAAACATGGAAACACTGCGAAAAATCTTCCTGATTCATCCTGAGGTTGGAAAGAATCAGAATTCACAAAGTCCTTTCACCTCAACCAATGGTTCTTTGGGCACCATGATCCACATTAGGCTGTGCAAAAACTGAATGAGACAGTGGCCAAGCAGCCAATAGTTGTAGAGAATCACGTTCCGTGGCTGGTTGGGCTGGGGCTCCTTTAGTCCAAACGATACAGCCCCATGCTTCAAATCCTTGGCGCGTGCAGCCGTAACCGGCCGTAACTCACTTGCAGACTGAGGCATGTCCACAGAGAGGTTTCCAGCACTTGGAGGAAAACACTCAGTGTGCGCCAAAACTATCACTGATTGGTGGTTTCAACCCCTCTGAAAAATATTAGTCAGCTGGGATTATTATTGCCAATAAATGGAAAAATAAAACATGTTCCAAACCACCAACCAGATCAGTGTTGGATGTTTTCAGTAAGGAAATCAGATTCTCCAGTCAAATCACATGGAGGTTTCCTAAGTCATGGGGGTTACCCCCAAAGATCCCCAAATCATCCAGCCAATTCCAGCCATGGATGACCATTTTTCGTATTGAAACCAATGGGATACCAATGGTGATCCACGGCGCCGAGGGGCGCCAGGGAAGGCCAACCATCGATTGGCCGCGGAAGTGCAGAGGTAAGCCCTGGGAGGCACCGAAGGAACGTCGCAGCCATCAGCCGCGACCTGTTTTTTTGTGCCCCCGGAGTAACCATGGTGGATGTAGGGGATCAAAAGACATATCCGGGACAATGGGAAGGGGGTGTTTACTATGATCCACAGACCTTCAGCTTCAATTTTTTCGCAAATTCCTGGAGTTTCTATACATAAATGAAGAATGGCTTTGAACACGGAGATGAAAACAGCGTTACTTCTTCCTTGGGTCTCGCAAGATCAAAAAGGCATCGGATTCTAATTGGTAATTTTCCATTCATCATCGAATTTCTATGTCTGAAACTCAACAATATTTGAAACCTCCAGCCAAACAATGTCCTCTGGGGAATAAATATAGGGGGCAGGTCTGGCATAGCATTTATACATGTATCATAATGTTCATCATTTAGGCATATTGGTTTCAAAAAGAGGGTGAACTGCCTCTATTATAATGGATACCACACATTAGCACAATAATACATTGAGCAAACCCTACGTTGACAATAGTTACATTTCAACGGAAAGTGAATGACAAACATCTACGCTCTAAGTGTCTCGTCCATGTTCCCCTGCCGATTTTCGGAGAGAGAAGCATCATCCACTGAACAGCATCCTAATCCCAACTCAATCTGGCCTGGTCTAGAACCATGGTTGGACCACCAATGTCCCCTAAGTAGAGCACGCTAGACCAACTGGGACGCTGCAGGTGCAGCGCAACCGCAGTGCCCTCTGACACACAGCCCTTGGTGAGCAAGGCACTTCAAGAGATTTTCCGTTCCAAAATGCCACTCATTGTCCACGGACAGTTTCCTCTACAGTCTACAGTTTGTTTTCTTTCTTGGTGTCTTCTAGATTTTCAGCACAGGACCTTCAACTAAACTAGTAAAGCCACAGTCAGGATCTAATCCCCTCATGAGTCCTTGTGGGCGCACATCAATGGCCATTTCAGGAACCTAAATTGGAGGTACCTACCATATATAAGGCCTATGTAAGGGCTATGTAAGGATATATCCCCACAAAATATGGCCTTATATGGTACAGTACCTCCATTTTAGGATCCTGGAATTCCCATTGAGCACATCGGGAAATCCGGAAGAAACACAGTATCAATTATGATTGGCTATCTCACTGACATACAGCATACACATACAGGAAACATGTATAGACATGTCACTAATAGACTCATAGATGGCAATATGATGTCCATTTCATCATCATTTAAACCACTGGAACCTGCCAAAAAAAACCTGAACACGAGGAGCAAACTCCGGATAGGGGACCGAGATTGCCGTGTCGTAGTGAAAGTGGGCGCCCATGCGAGCGCATTGATTCCGGCACCACCATTCGATGCCTTCGTAGTCCTCCGGGTCCTGTGTTCAAGGTTCATAGGAATCTGTTCATAGTCATAACACCACAATCCCAACAGGGGTATGGCTCCGATTCAGTTCATATTTGCTGTGTTTTTTGCCCTTGGACAAACTAGTTTGGGGACTGCTTGGTCTGCAACCACTACCCTGACAGGGGTATGACCCAAAACGGGAGCAACAAATTCCCATATGAAAGGTGGCTCCTGAAGAACCTTTTCTTCAATCAACGGAACCAACGGATTGCCTAGAAAAAAAACCATTTGATCGGAAACCATTGCTTTCAAATGCCTTTATCCCAAAAAGTAGTCAAAAATTATAGAGGGCGTTTCCTGTGATTCACTGGTTCATTGGGTTTCTATAACCTGGTTCTGCAACCTCCGAGGGAAATATCCATGATATGTTTCGACTTACTCAAGTTGCGGAGAAGCACAAGTTTCGAAACTGGCCATTTTTTCCACGTCGATTTTTTGGAAATTCATGAATGATAAGATTAATAAGAACCTTTCAAGTCTCGTTTCATGTGTTCACATCTGTTAGGAGCACCACTATGTATATTCTATGTTGCATTCATTGAATAAGACTTGCATACATATTAATAGTATTCATATTTTGAATATGTTCCAACAAATTAATATTGTAATAAATGAACATATTATATTATAAGATTATTCATTATAAACATACTATACATATTTATATTCACAAAGTACTTTTGTTGGAACGACTTGTAGGACAGAAGAACTCCCACATGAACTACTGCTGGTTTCGCCAGAAACTCCTCACTGGGGATCATCCTTCTTCGATTTGAACATCAAACATATGAAAACCACACAGCAAGTACTGCCAGTTACCCCTTTCATCCCCGTTCTCTAATTTTTAGTTGGATACAATATGGTTATAAGTAATGATATAAATAATGTATTTCACAACATATTCCCAGAAAATGGTTGGCCACCCCATTTCATTAAACCATCATTAAAACATATTAAAACCATTATTCAAATCCATGCACCCATCGTTTTTCACACGAACATCAACCCACAGGCCTCCCCCAGCAGTTGCAGCAAGAGCCGGCCAGCCACCTCTGCAGCTGTCCTGAGTTCTCGACACCTCGTCTAACAAATTGATGATAACAACGACTGGATCAACGAAACAGATCGTAGATCTAGATCAATTGATTGTCTGAGTCTGAATGTGTTTTTTCTCCGATTTATGATGTAAATCATTTGAATGTGTTGATACTATTTGTACATTGGTTTATCGAATATATTCATCTGAGATTACAGTATCTGAGTGTTTTACTTGCTGATCTTCAAATCTGAGAAAACATGGATCAACCGGCTGACATTCGATGGGTTGAACCCACCAAAACCTTGTAAAGACCCCACTAAACTTTTGCAGAAGCAAAACAAGTTCCAAAGTTGCATAGTCGAGCATCATTTTTCTATTAACAACAAAAATGAATGCAAATTGGCCCACAACATGCGAGTTCTTGACTCCAACCATCGCTAATCATCACTGTTTATAGTATAGACTGGTATAGTACAGTAATCCCACCGAAAAAAAAAAAAAAACTTGATAGAAGAGTAAATTGCCACTTTAGCAGGCTTCCACTTTACTTCACTGTTTCTATCTTTTTCAAGCCCCTTGGCTCTCCATTCAATGGAGAATATGGATATCCTAAAGGCGTCATAATGCGCCATAGCTCCAAACAGCTCCCTCCAAACCAAAGGATAGATCTTGGGAACCCCAGCAGTTCACACTTTATCAACCGCAACAGAAAGGTGAAACGGTCATAATTATCTTATATGGCCATGAAATTTAGCATGAAATATCCCACGAAATATCACAGTTTTTACCTAGAATTGATCGTCTCATCCCTCTACATCCATCCCATAGATCCATTATACACCTATAATTCCAACACGGACTATCCCATTTATTTCGATAAAAAATCAATCAATTATCCATTTATCCATTTATCCATTTCTCAATTTATCCATTAATTCCGCTACCTTCTGGCAATCTAATTTAGTTTTGGAGAACCATGGCCATCTAAACCAGGGCAAACTATTAGTTTACTGGAGGGTATATCCCCTACAGCTCAAACCTTTCCCATGATTTCCCGTGAAATGTCCACCTCCGTTACAACCCCACATTTATAGCTACTATATACATATAATATCATATAATCTCATATAATTACATGTAAATATATATATATATATAACTATATATATATATATCTTTCTCTTTCTCTTTCTCTCTCTCTCTCTCTCCCTGTCTCCATCCCGAAGGGTCAGCTAAGGCTAAGGGCGACAATTATATACATACCCATTTATCCGCTAAATCATGTTATATCCCTCATAAATGAATATAAATAGGATATAACTAGGGCATTTCTCATGACTCTTGCCATGGTTTCGTCCCAGCTTCTTAGGCCTCACATTGCGCGGAAGCCAAAAGGTGCACAACTTCCGCGGGCTTTTGGTACGCCAGGTGCAAAGATCATCCACCTGCAGCAGCTGTGGAGCTGCATGAATCATGGGATGAAGCCTGTCCAGGCAGAGGCTTGGTACTACGGAAATCATATGGGGAAAATGCCATAAAAAAAACGCATATGAGAAAAACTGGCCATTTTAGTGCGGAAATCAATATAACTATAGTATACTGGGAAATCATATGGGGAAAACGCATATGAAACAACCTGCCATTTTAGTGAGGAAATAAGTATGGGAAAATATGGGAAACTATGAGAAAAATGTATAAACATATAATATCAGCACGAAAATAATAGGCAAAATATAGGACACCATGAGAAAATTGCATTTTTAGTACGGAAAAAACCAGAAAACATGTCATTTTATTGTACGTATATGGAAACAGTGGGAGAACATATGGGAACAAATCAGCAGATTGAAGGTAAATATGATTCCCAGCTGATGGATGGTGATAGCCCCAAATATGCAAAGGATAGTAAAACCCCCGCTTAATAAACTACCAACTGTTGTGTTTAAGCGCTGCATAAATCCTTCACCGGAGGTTCTGTACTGCAACCTTCATAAGTTCTATATCGTTCTATCCGAGGTGACGTGGACATAAGCTCGCATCTGTCAAAAGCTCCTTGCGCCATAAAAAGAAACACGTGATTCACATGACTTTTGATGACGTATGCGACATGTTGACATGTCTTGTGACATTTCCACAAATGTCCTAGACCCTCTGCCCGAAATGCGAAAGTGGGGGGCAGTTTTTGTTTAAGCCCACCAGCCACCAAAATCCACCAGCCACCACCCCCAGGTGGCACACTGCGACGAAGGAGGTCCAAAAGCTCGGAGTTGAAGACTTGATCGAAAACCTTGGAGTGATGGGCTGGAGCCGCTGGAGCCCGCTGCAAGGCTTCAGGTAACTCATGGTAAGTCTATGAACTGTGCTCTGGAAATGGAATGAGACAGACTAAGACTAAGAAGACAGATTCTTCCAGACTCTTCCATCCATCATATTTCCGACATCTCTTGCAACTCGCCTTGAGTTGGTGCTGTGCCCAGGATGGCCATGTTTTGTTGCAACCAGCTCCCAGCTGCACCCGAGAAACCCGGGGTTTAGTAGTGGGATGAACTCGGGTAATCTCCTCCTGAGCTGACTGAGATTGATGGCATATTTCCATGTATTTCCCCTATGTAGTGGGGCCTTGGCGGCCTTGGAATCCTTGTCTGAGATTTGGTTTAAAGGATTTTTCTCAGGAGAACTTCATAGAACTTCCATATTTCATGGGAGTATCCGTGGTTTCCTGCAAATTTTCCCTTCAACCAAATCCATTCTGACTGAATTATAACAATTCAGCAACCTGAAAAAAACTGTTATCACAAGGCCATTTCGGGATGATTCCCCGCAATCGAATCTAACTATCATTCCAGTGAAGGCACTTTCCGTGAGGTCGACTTGTGATTCACGGCCCAGCCGGAACTTGGGGCCCACAAACATGGCAAATTAAAACCTCCCACTGATAGTTGATGTTTCCATTGAAACCTCCATGGCCATAGGGGACTTCCAATTGCCATCTTTGATTACCGAAGGTCATTGCCGGAGGATGAATATGATTTGGCCTTATCATTGGGTGAACCACCTATAGACCTATACTTGTCACTTAGTGATCAATAAGCCTTAATCCGGACTTCATCCAGCAATCACTGTTATTGCTAAAATAGTTAATCTGCTTGCAGAAACTTATTCTTAAGGATAATTAATTATAATTAATTTCAATGTGTTAATCACTGGATCATTTCTCTGAGATTTTTTTGGTCCCATCGAATCCCCGAAATGTTCAGGTCCTGAAGGAAACACTTTGCAACCTCCAGGCTCCACACGTTCCTGGCACGAACCAACGAAGGGCATCTCTAGTGGCAAGGGCACCTTTTTTGGGTTTATCTTGGGGGACATCCACTAATTTGATCTTTGATATCTTTGTTAAACACACATACTATCATACTATAGAGCAACACAAACAAAGTGTAGTAAGTGTAGTCAGATTATGATTATGATTCTGGATGAAATATAATGACATATCATGTGAGTTGCCTACAATACAAAATCATACGAAGACATGACATGCGGAAACTAACATGCGGTTGAGAAACTTGATTCGTAGCTCCTGGGCTCCTGATTTTGGAGTTTGGATACCCATACTTCCTTAGCCCCTAGGTTTACCAGATTTCACCACCAAACAAATATGAGGATGCCACCACTACAGTAGATCCCATTACATCTCCATAATCCATCATATATAGTCATGAAAAAATACATATTGCATTTTATTGTACGCTATCCTGTTGCTTTACAGAATGTTTGTGATCCGTACTAATACTAGATGCCCCTGGCACATGTTTACATAATAAATATAGTACGTATGATATATAATAATATACCCTTGCAAAAAAAATAAGTCATACTTATTACATATAATCATACACATTATGTATATAGTTATGTGTATATATATATATATTGCTTAGTCATACATACACCCTACACATAATCATACATATTATATGTATATATATATATATACGTATGAAACCCATCATTATTTGCACCATGGCACCATCCCCTGTCACAAAATCCGCTGAGTCAAGCTGCTGCGGCGCTAAAACGCAGCGTAGGTTGCGGGCCAACAGCGATTGATCCGTCCGTGCCTCCGACCGGTCCCCTGCCCAAATGGGTTCAAGCTCTCATCATGGTTGTGCCAGAAACATGTGGATACAATGGTTGATGGGATACAATTAGGGAAGGTGTTCTGATATGATTGGTATATATTTATCTAGATCAGGGCATGATATTGGTATTATGTACGCATATGTCTATATACATTAAATACATTTTTACACATACACTGACATGCACATATAATCACACGTACATACATATACATATACATATACATATACACATACACATACACATACATATATATATATATACATTCAACACATTTTAAAACGTCGTAATGCTGTATGACATATATAATGATGTGCCTATATAATCCTATATACATAATCACATGTAGGTAGTTAACAATATAAAATACAGGTGTGTGCATCCCATGCATCAAGAGTTGGTAATAACATGTAATAACCACACCACATAACTCAGTTATGAGTTCTGATTATAAGTTAGATAAATTAGTTGAACGTCCCCAGTTAGGTTTTAATGGATAGTTTTCATGGAGAAATATATACGGCCGTGGCAAGGGAAAAAAACCTTGGCTGTGCCCAGGTAGAACTCCTTGGACGATCCGACAGCCGATTCTGCCTAGAAAAAACTTGTTGCGAGCAGGGCCCTTTCGGCCCCTTAGTCGGTGAGTGATGAAACACCACAGTTCTTCACATCATGCCACCATTTTGGATGTATCCAACCTCGCCCATCTGGGTCAAATCACCAACCAACCCCCATGCCTGAATGTTCAACGCTAAAGCTGGTTGATTAAAAGGTGATCATTTGCTGCAAAACTGGAACCCGTCAGTTCCCCATTGATCTTGGATGATCAGTCTGGGTAAATCATTTCAAGAACAAACGCGCCTGAAACACGCCCATTTGATAATAGTTATATAACTTGAAATGACATCATCCCAGTGACGTCGCAATGAGGTCCCAGGCGCTTGTTCTGCCGCCTGCCCCTCCGGCTGCAACGTTTGCACTCGATCAAAGGCCAGGAATGTCGTCTCGAAGTCACCAGCGCGGTAGGAGGTCTCGGCCAGAAAGAGCCTCTTTTTCGCAACAGGGCCGACAGGAAATTGCCAGGACCGGCCAGGGAGCAAAATTGGTTTCCCACTAATTGGGCAAATTGACAGAATTATTGGTTTCAAGGTGTGGAAACTTCATGAACATCCTGATGAACAGGGAAATTGGGTGTGGATCAAGACCCATTACAATATATACCATACTCAGGGGATAAACATTCATTCGTTTGTTTGGATGTTCATGTTCACCGGGATACCTGGGTTACAAGGGTATTGACCCCAGAGCTAATTGGCTCTAAAACCATCGGTTTCAATCAACCGACCCATGAAGCTATATCAAGCATGTTTTTCTCGTACAGAATTGGGTGTAGGCTGTGAGACTTGGATTAAGCAACGAATAAGATTGTTTTGTTGTTGCATGTTGTTGCTATATCATGAATCCCTTGGACGCAAAACAGGTGACCCATTTCTCGCGATGTGTTCTTTGTTTCTTGTGATTTTTGGGTATGGGCTTGAAATATTTTGAAATAAAACCCCACGCTCCAACCAATGGTAGGCGGTTTGCATCGTTTTTTCTTGCTTATGCATCCTGAAATCTGAAATCACAATTGGTCACCAATCAGTCAGCCCCCCGCTTGCTCACAGAATTGATTGTTTCAAAACTGAATGATAGTGACCCGCGCTACAACTACAAGGTCGGGCGCTCATAGATGGCCGTATGGTTTCGTGCACTTTCATCTCAGTTTTGACACAAATGTATGAATGGTGATATGGCAAATCCTCCACGCTGGCCATTCGAAATGCATGTACAACTTCACATGTCCATGTTCATATCTTGGCGTGTCATATTTTGACGTCGAAAAAAACTACTTCACTTGAGACACTTTCAGGTGTATTTACTTCAGTGCATGACTTTTATTTTCATCCACCTTTAATCTGCAAAAAGTCGAGACAGTTGCTCGAGAACCTCGCTTGGATTCTTTCCCAAAAGTGCATGGTTTCTCCATGCCCATTGAAACACTTCTAAAGACACATGCTCATGCAAGGTTGCGTCATCTTCTTTTTTATGTTTTCAAAAAAACAGGAAATTCAAGAAAAAAAATGTGTTGAATTACAAGAAAAGATCTCATGACGTACCATACCAGATGTGTTAAATTCCAAGAAAAGATCTCATGACGTACCATCCCAGATGTGTTGAATTCCAAGAAAAGATCTCATGACGTACCATCCCAGATGTGTTGAATTCCAAGAAAAGATCTCATGACGTACCATCCCAGATGTATTGAATTCCAAGAAAAGATCTCATGACATAACATCCCAGATGTGTTGAATTCCAGGAAAAGATCTCATGACGTACCATCCAAGATGTGTCGAATTCCAAGAAAAGATCTCATGACGTACCATCCCAGATGTGTTGAATTCCAAGAAAAGATCTCATGACGTACCATCCCAGATGTGTTCAAGTTCAAGAAAAGATCCATGACGTAATCCCAGAAAGTCCAAAGAACGTTATTACACCCCCCCACCCCCCCCGACCCCACCCCCCCAACCAACACCACGCCAAAAAAACACAAAAAAAGACAAAAAAAGAGGTTTCACTGAGGCGAAACAAAAAAAACAAGGAAAAAGTGCGCTCTCGCTGTGGCGCCAGTGCAGTGAACTAGCAAAAACACTGTTTCGTGACGCGGCCTTCTGCGCGCGCCCAGCCAACTACAACTACACCACACTACAACTACAACTTCAGCTTTAACTACAACTACAGCTACAACCACAATTACAACTTCAATTACAACTACAACCTCAACCACAGCTACTCCAACTACAACTACAATACAATTACAAGTGCCACTGCAACTACAACTGCAACAACTACCACAACTACACTACAATTGCAACTGCAACTACAGCTGCAACTACAACTACAACTACAACTTCAGCTACACTACAACTACACTTCAGCTACAACTTCATCTTCAACTTCAACTACACTGCTACAACAGCGATTACCACGACGCGACACTAGAACTACCACTACAACTACCAATACAGCTACAGCTACAGCTGCACTACAACTACAGTTAAAACTACAACTACAACTCCTACAACTATTGCAGCTGCTACAATTACTACAATTAAGACAATTACAATTACAACTTCAACTGCGCCTCAACTACGCTACAACTACAACTACAACTACTGCACTACACCACACTACATCCAGGAGTTGTGAGTGAGGTGACCACAGCAACCATTGCAACTACTCCAAACAGCACAACTCCAACCACATTCCGGTCCGTCAGTGGATTCGCTCTGCCATCCATGCATCACAAGAACTCACCTGCTATAGTGTCCTATCCTTTAACTTCCGCCACCGCCTTGTGCGGTACCACTGGTACGATGATTTACTCATGTTCACCCCAAACATTCACAAATTACGATCGTTCCTGGGATGATTCCATCCCAACCATCGTTTTGGGTCGTCCTTTGCCGGCGTGAGAAATAGAACAAACACAGTAAACTTATAACACAAGGCTATGGAAAACAATGTATAGATCATGTTCCAAACGGGAAACAACCACGGATTTTCAAATATCTTCACATGTTACTGTAATTTCATTAGTCATTATAGATGTCAATTTACCGAAGGATATACTTTGATTGATGCTTTAGGCATGTTTACCCAAACACTTCAGTTTACCAAGTGGCATAATGATCCCCGACAAAATGCAAAACATGTTGTCTCCAACACGGACGTTCACCCACCACTTCACCACTTGTCTTCATGAGGGATCAAATCAGCCGCCCCCTCTGAGGAATATATTGAATAAGCGAACGTTTTCAATTTATACCACTTCTTGTATTTTTTTGAATCGGTTGCTACATGTCTAGCTGAACTTTGGGGGGGGGGGCAATGATACACTTCAACATCCACCTATCATCACAGCTATATATATATATTTGGGGATGGTTGAGATATGGTCATGGTCATGACACTGCATTCATACCCACACCCCCGTAAATTCCGATTCCATCCCCATTAAATGGTTGGTTGCCTCATTAAACATCCATTCAATCACCAATAAATCACCATCAAAATCCGTTAAACCAACATTATTGTGCATTGTTGCCATAGTTTTCCATACTTTTTCCATATATGTTCCATATATATTTCCATACTTTTCCATTGATTTTTGATATTTTCCCCATTGAACTCCAATGCAAACCAGCGGTGATGCCAAGATATGCCAAGGTGCCAGGCGTCTGCGCGGCCGGGATCCAGTTGCAGGGCACGGTGCATGCATAGAGACACCGCCTGTGACGCTCAACGATCATATTGTTGGATATATTGCAAAATAGGATATATCATGATATATCAATAGGATAGGTTTTGAAGAAATAAGGTTTGAATTTAATAAATATAATGTTTGAATAGTTTTTGCCAAATGAATCATGACTACAGGAAATATTGAAGATATATCATAATATACTATGTTCTATTGATATAGTTCTAATATAGTTGTTAAATGAATATAAAATATATAGTTGATGCAGTTGATATATACTGCAAAAAATATATAATTATGCATATTATATATATATATATATATGTGTGCATGTGTATATTACATCATTCTTGAAATGTAACTGTATCATGTGGTTGGGAAACCCAATTCATAGCACCAACGGGTTCCACATCTGATAGTATTTGAAATATAGATACCCCTAGCTCCGAACCACTTCCTCGCCACTTGAGAGTAAAGGACACATCCAGTTGAATAGTTTATCATAGTTTACCATTTACCCAGTTGGTTTGCCAACTTAGCCTCCTGTAAACATGAACGCAGTTTGATATGGTATAAATGACCCAATTTAGTTCGATGATTTTCCTATTAATCGTTATTTTCCATGGCTCTCTTTATTTACCAAAGGGTACCCTACTGTAAACTAAGATCAATTAAGTAACAGAAATGTAGAAAAGTCCATTATTTGTAGATTCACTTTCCGAACAGGAAACCATGAGCTTCCCACACGTATCTTAGTTTATCCAAGGGTAATCACTTAATCACTGGTTGCTCCGAACAGCACAAATATGTTTGGGGAAAAAACTAGGTAAACTGTACCTTCCCTCCAGGTGTGGCTATAATTTACCTATGATAGCTTGGGACAACTCTAAGTGGTAAGTGTCATATCATATCATGAACTTTCAGCAACAATATAACGGTGCCCAATATATTTCGCATCAACATGCCTCAACGTATATTGTACATAGTGTTCATATACAGGGTTCAGACATTTTCAAACATCTCTTCAAATGAACTATTGGACGTTCCTATTTTTTGGTGGTCATGTTCCTCAAACATCTCTTCATATATTTTCCATAGTTGATTAGGTTTATTTAAGTTCAATAGGGCAATCCATTTGTTGATAATCCATTGTTACCATGTGTGGTCCACTTTCAGTTAAGTCCCTATTGATTGTTGATGGTCATGTTCTTCAAACATATCTTCATATTTTACATATTTGTTTACTCGACCCCATTTTCAGACACATCCATGTTCAAACACACCCATATTGACACGTCTGAAATGTATACTGTATACCAATTGGTCCCAGTATGTCAACGAACTCCATTAACCAGTTCTTTTTTTCAGGCAGTGCGTTCAGCTAAAATGAAAAAATTGCAAATCAACACCCTGACGTATCTGATAGGCATACAGTATTTTTATGGAGAAAACTTACTGTAAATGCAGTTACTGCATCGCTACAAGTCACAGTGATGTGCTCCACCATGAATCTACGCATTGATATGGGCCTATCACCGGTCGGGCCTACCTCCTCTCTCTGTGTGTGTGTGTGTCTGTGCATGCTGGAAGACTACATACCTTGTATCAGACTCAGTATGCAGTAATACAGTATCATTTCAAGTATCATACAGTGCATAGGACATGACCCAACAATGTTGTGGTTTGGAATGTCTCAACTGAACGATGTCTAAAATCCCTCTACTGGTTGATTGATGGGGGATTCACAATTTGTGAAGGGTTTTAGTCGTTTCTCAACTACTGCCATAAACCCAATAATAAATAAATAATCCCCTATAGAGGTCGTCTATGAATTGGGCATATGCCTATTTCGGATGTCAACCCCCAAATGCTGAACGGGATGGTTTCTTGTTGGGTGGACCAACCATGATGATCCAATTAATAAATATCAATAAACAAAATCACAACATGTCACATGTCCAACATATACATTGGTCAATTAGCCATTGACTGGCTCAACCATTAACCATCAACCCAAAACCCAATCATTGCTCCAATGGTTGCTGCATACTCCAAGGCGCGGCTGGCGACCCTTGCCGCGCGCCTCATGCTCGTGACAAACGTCATGCACGAATCCGCGCAGAAGCCAACGCTCGGACCTGGGCGTTGGGTTGCTGGGTTCAAGGAAACAAACATGGGAACACATGGGGGTTTCCTGCAAATATAGGGGTTTGTGTGGGGAATTACGCTATGTTTGTTTCCATCATGTTCCCTCCAAATCTTGATTTTGTTTCTGATAGTTTTGATGAGTTTGACGTGTTTTGAGGTTGACTGCCTGGGTTTATCTATCTATCACCTCCTGATCAAAGGTTGATTACAAAACAAACGGCTCTCCATTGCCGTCTTTCGGGTGGTCTGGGGCAATCCAGATCATCCCCATCATCTCCCAATGCAGCTTAGCACCTAGCAGCACCTAGCAGCACCTAGCAATGACATTTCCCTGTTTAGCATGAATGCACTAATTAATGCTGATACTCATCATGGGATTCATATTTACCAGATTGACCATATGTATCATTATTACATATCATTTGCTTACTTGCATGATCGGCAGTAATCCTGGCTTACATTAATATTTACCAGATTGAGCCCGATTCATCGGGATTAATATCTTATTTGTCCTATCATTGTGTCCATTTCGGTGGATGAACCGTCATGAATCTGCTGATAGATATCATCCAAAATGGTAATGATTCACAAACGGATATGTCTGGCATATCTATATCTATCATCTTTCTAAATCCATCCAAATCTATCTAAATCTCTGTCCAAATAAAATATGCAAATACACACATAATATAATGAAACATATATATATATAATGAATATGATATCTATATGCATGTATATGCAACGATCCTCTATCATCCCTTCGGACTGAAAGACATGAACATTGGCCAAACATATGAAAAGACCTAAGCCCATGAATTCATGTACATATATATATATATATATATGAGTAAACTTCAACGCTTGCATCTGCTTGGAAAACTCCATTGGTCACTCCATTTTGTTCCCATTTAAACGCATGGATAAATAGGCTTCTGGGTATAATTGCCCATGCTGATGATGCCCAGCCACCATTAAATCGGAATCTTCAATTTAACCAACAAGTTTACAGCTGATGTGGATACCCATGAGTGCCCTCCAGTAAACAAACATAGCTATTGAAAATTACCGTATTTATTTAATTGAATCATCGAACCGAATGGGCAATGGTCTTCATAGCTGTTAATAATCCCCATTAAACCATGATAATCTCCATAATGCCGTCTGGTAGACGAACATCGCTTAAACATCATAAAAAAACCATGGCTTAGAATTCCCGACAAATACCATCCGGTAAACAAATAGCTATGGTGGACTTTAGGTGACCAGAGGGTTTACCAGATATTTATATATATATAATTAAAAAAAACACATATGAATACCAGATAACATATATATATATATAGAAAATCCTCACATATAAATACCAGATAAACTATTCTATACGTGGATAGCCCTTGCTCCCTCCACCGTTGTTTCCACCATCAAGACGCCACTCCTCCGGCTGAGCCTCGCAAAGCTGCGCGGCAGCGTCCAGCTGACCCTCAGCCACCAACCTGGGCATGGCAATGTGGCGCTTGGTGGTGCTGAGTTTAAGGCAAGAAATAAAGACGTTGGTGAAGATCGAAGGCATAATCATGTAGGCATGTCACACACACACATATATATATACACACATATATATATATAATAATTATTATAATATATTAAATATACATAATATATAATATATAAAAATATAATGTATAATATATATATACATACATTATTTTATAAAATGCATATATATATATATTGTATATTATAATGTATATATTTTTATAATATATATATATGGTTTGTTAACATAGATATGTAAAATCAATTGATATGATTTAAGTAGTTCTATCCAAAATAAATAAATACATATACATATACATTTACATATACATATACATATACATATATATATATATACTTTTAAATATACATATACATATATATATATGTATATGTATGTATGTATGTATGTATGTATGTATGTATGTATGTAGGTATGTATATATAATTTTGGCGAGGATAAATGCGTATATCTACATATCAATCACTATATGATTGTATATGAAATGAAGTGGCTGTGTATGCGCGCAGTCATTGGGCCGGTCATTGCCTGATTCTCATCTGACATACCAGCCTTTATGACCTCCAGGTTTAACTTACAATGACCCTGTGTGAGCAGGATGAAAGTGACTAATGTTTATATATAAAGAAATAGTAATTTAACCACACATGTTCTGAAGGTGTAAATGGGAGGTGGTTTATGGCTTTACTAACATTACACACTTTACCCTCTGGTAATTCAACATAGCTACGAAAAATGTCACTATATTTCAAATAGGTAAGTCATCTGTACATGGGCCATAGCTTCCATAGTAAAATCACTCCAATTGCCAGAAGGTAAAACCATTGTTTTTCCATATCTGTGCCTCTTCACCTCATCACGAAGACAGCCCGGGGACAAACCTCAGCCAGCTCGGTGGACAGGTGGATCAAGGAATATCAAGGCCACCAAAAGGAACAGCGGTGGAAGGCTTCCAAGGTCATGGAATGAGAAGGTCAGTGAACATGGGCCGGTTAGGGCAACACCTTCCCAGGGTTTGCTTGCTACATATTTCTATGAATCATGACACACAAATAAACAGACCCATATCATATACACTTTTATGAGTGGAGTGACTGAAACAAAGGACATGGCCAAAGTGGGTGGTCCCCTATCGGTTGTGAAGGTTTGTACTTCCATGCTATGTCCAAAAATATGGTATCGGTAAGTGGGTGGCCCCCTATCCCAAGTAAGTCAACTCTCTACTACTTTACTACTTGTGTCTTGCGCAAATTTTGTCCGTTACTCATACATATACAACGTAACAAACACATAGGCACATATAATTACACCACAAACACCAATTAACAACGTAACATGTGCAACATACATGTGTATATATAATTATATATATATACACATACGTACATGTACATGTATGCACACAATAAATACAAGTTAACATCAAACCATGTATACAACATACAATTGACACTCTCTGCACCTGCACGTGGGCGTTTGGATGTCGGCTCGCAGCCTGCCAAGCCGCTTAAGCCGCCGCCAGGGGAGTAAGAGAATACCATGTCCCAGCATGGAAAATACGATGATGAAGTATATCTATCTCATCTCATCTTATCTGATCTCACCGCATCTCATCTATCTATATGGATCTATATTGGTATATACTTATGACATAATATATATATAATATAATGTAATATAATAATATAATATAATAAAATATAATATAATATATGTAGATATACTATTATAGGATTATGCATATGTAAGTATGTTTTTACACCGGTTTTTCATGTCAAATGTAAGCGTGGGGCAGCACCTGGATCCCTCCCAGTTGGTAGCTCCATGGCAGCCATTGGCATTTCGGCATTTCGCCAGGGGCTCTTTGGAATTTCTTGGGATGTTCCTCCTTCAGTCTACCTTCTATATCCTTTGTATATCCTGTTTAAAAAAAATATATATTCCTTCTTCATATCCTTGTAAGTCGCGATATTGGATAATCTTGGGCAGTGCCGAATTGGTCGGAAAACATGTGTTCTAGTGTTTTCCAATACATATATGAGTCATATGAGTCATACGTCCATATCTTGGTGGAGTATTAACTCCTGAGGCAGAAGGAGCCATTGACTCCGTGATGTGCTGGATACATCTCTGAAACAACGCATTTTTTCAGAGTTTTGGCCGACACATAAACTGATGTATCAAATAAATTATTATTTGTTTATTTTCATCTGGAAGATTCCTGTTTTCGACTATCCTTTCCAACAAGTCATTGGCATTGGCTTCTTCATCCTCAGAGCAGCGAAGAAGACCAGACCACCAGTAAGTCAGTATGCAGCAAATTTTAATGAAAGAAAAAGGTTTCAAGCGGCTCTTCGCAATTCCCACACTTGCCCCAAACTTCTAGAGAATTCTTGGCGCGCTTTGCACCTTTTATTTTCAGCTTGTTTCACTCTCCTTTGGAGCACAGGAAGAAACCCCTCCTTTGAAGATGGCCCGGGTCCGGTGTCCCTCGCTACTACGCTACTCAGCACTTCTTTGGATGGCCAGCTGTCTTCGGCACTTGTTAATCTTTGCGGCTTGTAGCACGCAAAGGTTTCGCTCGGTGGAGGTATAGAAAGTCCAGTCCTGCGGGTTGACTTTCTAGAGGTTTGTTGGCTGCTGAGCCATGCGGAACCGTCAAGGGGTCCCCGGCAAGTTGTGGTGAGAATGTGGCAAAACCAAAGTTTCAACGGCAAACGGCAAACCCTAAGTGAATATCATTTACCATCTGGTTATTTAACATAGCCATGGGAAATCACCATTTTTAATAGGTAAACCATCTATAAATGGGCCATTTTCCATGGCTATGTTAGTCATAACCAGAGGGTATATTCGTTTATGAATATTTAACTAATGCAATTCCAATTGCAGTTGAATGTTGGCCACCTCCAGTGGCCCTTTTTTTTCCCGACGAAGCAAACCGCGAAACTTCAGTCCCCGTTTCCCCCCCGGTTTCAGCCAGCACATAATTAGCATGTAAGTAGTGTAAGTAGCATGTAATCCAGGGAAGGAGGTCACTGTTTGAAATAATGGTCATCCAGGATTTGTGAGAAAAAGCAACACACATGAAGCAAACTGGGCTTCATCCCTACTGCTCGAGCTCCTTGTCAAGACCATTCATGGTGGACATGTCCAAGTGTGACCTGGAAAAATGATCGGATGCTGGTTGGAGTACCATCGGGTTATTTTAAAATGGCAATGGGAAATGCCAACGGCCAATGGGAAAACATGGTATAAGCATCTATGAATGGATGATATTCAGGTGAAATTACTAGAGTCTTAGAGGGTATCTCCTATTGATGGAGGATTTTCCTGTGAAACTTGTTGAATTTCCAGTGTCGACTTGCTGAAGATCATTCAGAGCTCTATCTCCAACCTTCGTGCAAACAGTGTTTTTTTGAGGTTTCTTTTCACATCTTTTCACCATGGCTTCCATCGGTTTCCATCGCCCCGAGACGCCACGGAATGCTACGGAATGCCACGGACCTGACACTTCTCGGCAGCTTGAAGAAGTCGTTGGGCCCAGGAGGGCTGCCATCCTCAGCTGGCTGCTGCTTTCTATCGAAAATTCCGGAGATGTATGGATGCTATAGATATTCTGTGTGTGAGATAATTGTAGACGTTTGGTTTCTGAAATCTAGAAAATAGATATCTACGATATAAAGATAACAATAGATAGCTATACTATATATAATGAATATCTAATATGAATATGTTTAGATATAGTAGACATTGATTGGATATGTATATGTATATATATATATATCAATTAGTACTTAGAATATATAATGATATATACGTATATGTGTGTGTGTGTTGAGTTTGACCAACAAGGTTTGGAGAAGGAACTTGGCAAAGAGACTAATATGCATGCTTTAGCAGTTCATGTCAGAAAGCATGTGTAGATCAGATTGACATTTACCACCGGAATTGGAAACTGCTCAAACATGCTCAAACAATCGGCCAAGAACCAACACAAATAACGATAACTCATCGAATTCCAGGTGTAAATCACCTTCCACAGAATTGGCGGTTTGTTTGTCATGTTTGTTGGCTTCAACTTTAAGCTTCTTGGGGTGAACATTCGTTGGCACATTGCACATTGGGACAACATTTTTTTGGGTCTGTGCAGGGCCTGCGGCCACAAATTTCCTCAAAACAATTGGTGGGCATTCAATTTCTTCAAGGAAATACAATGAGAGATGTAATCCTGCGGTTTGTCAACTGATTCTGAAGAAACCGCAGAAGTTGGGAGTGGAAGGTCCCCACCTTTTCCTTCACTACTCCTAACTCCTACGGCCGCAACACTGCGACCAAATGCGACGGCAAAAAACCTACTTGTGGAAGCCCTCTGAGGGAAGGAAAAGTATATCGGTATATCGGATGCAATACCCTCTGGTAAACTAACATAACTATGGAAAATCGCCATTTTTCATGGGAAAACTCATTATTTCTATGGCCATGTTTGGAACGCGCTTCAGCTTCCGTCACGCCAAGTGTCCACTTTCAAGACTTTGGGGCCATTTTTCGGATCGATTTCGACCTCATCGAGGCGTCTGGAAATTCACCCTATAAAAAATGGGTCAATTATCTACAAATGAGCGATAGCTTCCATAGCTACCTCAATTTATCGGAGGTATCTCTACCTACCTACCTACCTATCTATCTATCTATCTAATTAATCTATCTATAGATATTAATTGTGTATGCATGTGTTCAGTTTAATCAACTAATGTGGTAAACCTTAATCGCAAAACCATCCCAAATGGATCGGTCCTTGCGGGGGTTTCCTGCGTCAATTTTGAATGACCCGTCCACATTTTTAGTAAAGCAAAAGTTTTAATGAATTTAGGATCCTCTAAATATCAATAAATTTACATAAAATAACTGGATTCTATAAATTCATATAAATTCTATAAACCATATGTATCCATCCATAGTGCCACCCGCCTCGACCATCTCTCCGTCCACGTCGATGCTGACCACGGTCTCCTTGATGCCGTCGTAGTTGCTGGCCGGGTGAAAGTGCCGGACGCCCGAGTCCTGAAACGGAGAAACTTGGGGGACCAATATGGAGGTTTCCAGAATTCCCACCCAAAATGGATGGTTTATAGTGGAAAATCCTATTAAAATGGATGATTTGGGGTACCCCTATTTCAGGAAACCTCCATATGATGGGGGTATATTGCACCATATTTATGTATAGAGGTTAAACATTCAGCTGCATATATATATATATATAATATGTATATATATATACATACATATATATATATATATTATTTTGTATCCTCTGTTACGGAAAACAAAAGGCTAATAAGCCATTAAATACCTCACATCTCCTCACCAAAGGCTGATCCAGACATGAATGACCCTAGATTGATGGAGATGAAGGGTTTCACTTAGAATTGAAAATCTACCCTGTCACTGATGGACTATGTTGTCACTACTTTGGGCACCAAGGCCGAATTTCTTGACCCAGGGGTGAGGCCCACAAGAGGTTCCTTTCACATCCCTTTCACAGGGTAAAGTGGGTACAGGAAAGCGCGAAACTCATGCCTAAGTCACGCCTGTGTGCTGAAAATCTGCTTTCCCCCATCTAAATGCAATTTCCAGGAAGTCATGCCTATGTCATGCCCACAACCCAAATCACCATCAAAATGCAGCGGAAACCTTTGCTTCATTTTGATTAACTGATACCAGTAGTACCGCACAAGGCGGTGGCGGAAGTTTCAAAAATAGTAGCCTGTAGGAAGTGTTGGGTTTTTGAGTTGCATGGGCGGCAAAACAAGCCGCTGATGGATCGTTTTTGATAACGGTTTGTTGTGAAATGAATAGTGAATCTGAAAGTGAAGTGTGAGATAAGGGATATGATATATACTGGAGAAAAAAAACAACGACGTCAGAACGACGTCCGAACGACGTCCAAGCGACGTCAACTCATTCCCTAGGAAAGGCCACTCCCCACATGATGGCTGAACAACATGAGACTCCTAGTACGGTACATTAATACAAAGGAAGAAATGGCTACTCAAAACATCAACTAAATGCAACGACCAAGTCTTAAGTAACTCAGATGTGAAGTCTTTGCCCAACATGCTGAACACCAACTGAATGCAGGATTTATATTAAATCATAGATCCGATCATGAAAACCAGAAAATCATGCATGTCCTATGCGTTTCACAAAAAGGCACGACTTTTCAAAATCAAGTGCTCCGAAGCTATTTTCAACGATTCCCACTAATCTAGGCACGACTTTAGCAACTCTCTGTATCGGGTGGGGTGTTTACACACATATATATATATATATGCATATATACATATATACACATGACATGACGTATGACGTATATACATGTAATCACATCTCAACCCCCCGGTAGACACAAACGCTTTGGGACTACACAAACCACATAACAATCATAAATAAATATATATATATATATAATTATATATCATACATATTATACATCGCTCTCTCTCTCTCTCTCTCTTTCTCATATAATTCTACACCAAATTGTACCAGTGCATGGTCTCTTGACTTGGGCAAGCTGTGGCTGTTGGATGTCAAGGCTCCATCGTCATGTGCGGACCACTCATGGTGTCGAAGTCACCAGTGGAGGGATCAAGTTCGGAGCTGGTTTGAGCAATTTGCTGCCAGAAAAACCTCGATGTCCCCAAGGAAAACCCGTTTTGAACACACATCCATTGGGTCCATGTTAGCTCTGATGCAGCTAGTTCACCATAAAAATTGTGATATGTTGTGATTATATTCAACATACAGCTATCAAAACCAGCAGCAACATCCACACCATCCACA